CTGTCATCGTGTTCTAGCGCAGGACCTGGAGGTGGACTGAGACCCTCTGTCCCTCGTCACCACCTGCCCCGGTGCTGTGAGCTGCAGTGACCCCCACCCTCCACAGCCGTCCTCTCTCCTTCCGCAAAGCCTTAGCGCCGGCCCTCGCTCCCACGCTGAGGCGGCTGTGATTCTCGGTGATTTCAGCGTCACAGAGATGGTCTTTCCGGTAACTCCTTGACCTCCTCACCTTCAAAACCAGTGCAGTGACTTCTGCCCCTCCTCGGATCCCTGCTGCCGGCCCGTGCCCTGGGCAGTCCCGGCTGCCCGCTCCCCAGCACCGGGCCCGCTGCTGTCCTAGCAGTCACGCCCTCAGCAACCTCCTCCCGCGTTTCCCGCCCCGCCAGGCCCTGCAGCCAGTGACCCGCCTCTTCAGCCACCCGCCCCTCAGCTGTGAGGAACACTGACAGCCACCGAGTGCACAGAGCCCGGCCTCCCCCGCAGCCCCGGCTTCTTCCACCTGAAGAATCCCAACTCTGGTTGAGCCCAAGCAACTGCACGGAACGGGAAGGGAAGAAGGGTGTTGCCAGCGCCACCCGCATTCATCAGCTTAAACCTCACGTGAGGCCTGAACAGCCCGGAGTCGTCCTCCGCTCCCTGAGCTCGGGCACCCTCCTCTGCTAGGTCAGTTTCGCATCTCTTCCCCTCCCCAGTGACCTCTCTCCCCTGACCCTCCGCCGGCGTCCTTGCTGCTGGTTTCGGGGAGAAGACCGAGCGATTGCCAGAGTCTCCTGCACGTTGCAGCCACCCCTCTGCCCGCCCTGAGGCTGGGGAAGGCTGCGCCCTCAGAGGCCAACCCCTCTGTGCCCCGCAAGGACGTCACCCAGCAGCTGCCCTCGCCCGCGTCTCCCGTCTGCTCCGGTGCACGGGCCAGCTGCAGGCGCCTCCCCTCCCCCCCGCCCCCTCACAGCCAGGGGCCGGCCCCCCCTTCCTTGAACCCACTGCAGTCGAGCTGTTGCCCCACTGCCCGCGGTGTTCAGCCACCAGCCACACTCGCTCCGTGGCCAGTGCCCGTGCCCTGCTGTCTGCGAGGTATTTTGCCGTCACTCCACGGCGGACGCGTGGCTGGAGTCACCGTCCCTTCGTCGCTCATCGTGCCGCCTCCAGCAGACGCGTGGACGCCGTGTTCTCCCCGCGTGCTCTCTGCTCGCAGCGCCCAGGACCCCTCCTCCCTCTCGCTCCGTCGCCCGAGTCACTCCTTGGTTTGCGCTGCCTGCGAATCGCTGGACTGCTCTGGGGCTCAGCCTCGAGCCTCCTCGCTCCTCTCTCCCAAGGAAGCCTCCACGGCCCAGTCTCGCAGCGGTCAGTGCCACAGACCTGCGCCGTGTCTCCACGTCCGGCTCCGGCGTCCTTCCCGGACCCCACACTTCTGGGCCAAGCTGCCTGCGCAGCACCGGCGTCGCCGACGTCCGCCTGCCCCGACACGCGTGTCCGAGCCGAGCCGCGCTGCCCTCCAGGCTCCCGCGTCTCACTCGACCTCAGGGAACAGAGACTTCCTCCTCCCGCCCCTCAGCCCGCACCCTGCAGTCCGCCTGGTCCCTGGCTTCTCCCGCACGTCGCCCGCAGACCAGCGCCCTGCTCCACCTCCAGGGCCCGCCCAGCACCTTCGCGCCTCTGCTGCTGCCCGGCCGCCCCTCACCTGCACCCCGCGGAGCCTGCGGTCTGCGCCCCACGCGAGAGGGATCCTCTTGAAACAGAAAAACCCTCCGCAGGCTCCCGCTCACCGGGGAGTAAAAGCCCTGCAGAGCCCCCCGCCCGCTCCCTCCACACCGTCGCCCCTCTGCCCGGTTCCTTCGCTGCGGCAGCCACACGTGGACGAGGGCCTGCTACAGTGTCGGGCCTCGCCTGTCTGCCCAGTGGACCACGCGGAAACAGCCATTTCTCCTGCGCGGTGCCGCGTGGTGACAGCATGAGCACTTTGGCCCAGAGGCAGGGTCCTGTCTCAGAGCCCCGTGCTGACGGCGTCATCTCGGAGAGTCAACGCCGTGGCCCGTCGGTGCCCGAGTCCCCCATGGCATTTGCACCGAGTGGCCGTTCGCCTGGCCCTGACCCCCACTTCCCGTCCCGTGTGCAGGAAGTTCCTGTCACGGCGTCTCTGTGAGGGGAGCTGAAGTCCGTCACCGGTCACTGCTGCCCCCTGCCCGGTGTGCGTTCACAGACACGTGAACAGAGCCCCTGTCCCGGCAGCTCTGCAAACGTGGTCTCTGTTCAGGGCGCGGCTGGAAGTGGCGCTCGGACCCCTGGTCTCAGCAGCTCCTCAGCTCGCGTCTGTCCGCGCATCTGTCCTCAGCTCCTCCGCGCCGGGCTGTGCCGCTGCAGCCTGCACTGTCTGGAGCTGACGCCCATCTCTGCACAGCGCAGCCGTCGGTGACGTCGAGTTGGTGGCTTGAGGGCAGCTGTGGTGGCGACAGTCACACCATGGGAATCGCCAGACGCTACAAATCGGGGCTTTTCTCCTTCTCCAGGCGCTAGGGTTGAGCCTGTGCCGGCTCGTTGCGGTCTGGAGCCAGGCGGTCGCTTCCGCCTCGGCCGTAGCTCAGGCTTGTCGGCTTCCCCGGTGCTGCAGGCGCTCGCCCGGGTGGCTGGTTTGCCCCACAGGTTCGTCCTGGCAGGGGCCACGTGCGGCCACTGGACAGGTGTGGGCTGCGTGTGCATCACACACAGAATGCAGTCCGAGTCACTCTGCCCTTGTCCCGAGGATGCATCTGAAAAGAGAGAACTTCCAGGTCCCCTCCAGGCAGAGCTAACCTGCTTGGACCGCCGAGTCCCACCCGTCACGTCTGTCCATCCTGGCATAGGGCAGGGGCTGTGGGAAGTCAGCCGTGGCGGGGTGTTGGCGCCACTGAGAGCAGCAGCAGGGACGCCCTGGTGGAGGGAACCGCAGAAGTCATTTGAGAAGAGTCGCGAGTTTTAGGCGGAGCACCCTCTGACCCGCTGGCTGCAGCGCGGGGTCCCGGCCTTGGGAAAAGCCCTGGGAATTGGTCCGCGGGAAACGCAGGCGGTGCCGCCGCGTCACCCCGCCACAGTGGCGGACAGTCCACTCGGACGCTGCTGAGAGGTGGCCAGGACGTACCGAGAGGGCACAGACGGTTTCCCAAGGTGCCAGGGAGGACTCGGCGCCAAACCTCGCCGTCTTGAGTGGGAAGGACGAGGCCCCTCCGTGGCCCTCCCAGACACGGGGCTCCTGGGGTGTGCGGTCAGGCGGTTCGGTTCTAACGGCCGTGCTCACGTGTGTGCCTGTCGTGTGTCCTCCCAGATGAACGACAACCTCCTCGAGAGCTGGAGCGACCTGGACGAGCTGAAGGGAGCCCGCAGCCTGGAGACGGTGTACCTGGAGCGGAACCCCCTGCAGAGGGACCCGCAGTACCGGCGCAAGGTCATGCTGGCCCTGCCCTCCGTGCGGCAGATCGACGCCACCTTCGTCCGGTTCTGAGTCCTCGTCCTCAGCTGGCCCCTCTCGGAAGAACTGCCCAGCCGCGGTTTGCAATCCACCCGTTGCTCCCGAGGCCGTCGCCGTGTCGGCAGCCGCAGGCCCAGTGGCAGGGAACGGGCTCCGACAGCAGCTGCCGTGCATGATGCCGCCCGCCGTCCGAGACGCGTCACCATTAAATCTTGCCACAGTCTCCTGGGCGATTGCGGTCATTGCAGCCGTGCGGAGGGCGCGGGGCACGTGCGTTCGCTCGCTGTTCACGTGTCTCCTCCTCTGCGCGGCAGTCTCGGGACGCGGGGCCTGGGAAGCTGCGAGGAGGTTTCCACACTGGGGGTGCGGGGTCGGGGGCCCCCGAGCCAGAGTTCGCAGGTTGGAGCAGCTGCTTCTGCGGCAGCCGGGGTTTTCCAGCCCGTTAGACCAGTTGCTGCCAACTCTGAAAAGGTTACGTGGTTTAAAGAGAACTTGGGCAGAAGGTGATGCAGCCCCGTGTGCCGGGGCCCTCGGGGCTCTCCTGTGAGGGCGGTGGCCGCGTGCGACCGCTTTCCGCGTGCGCCTGTCAGTTACGCCACGGCCGCCGCACGCGGAGGAGAAGCTCCGTGGCCCAGGGCTGTGCTGCGCGGCCGGCAGACGCGAGCCCGAGTGACCTCTCTTCCAAGACGTCCTCCAAAGGTCTCACCTTGACCCCTCGTAACGCGGCCCCCCCCACCCCCACCCCCGTCGTGGTCTGGGCCTGTTTGACGTAAGATTTGCAGTGACAGACACGCGGGCTCTGGATAGAATGCTGCAGGGCGGCGTCTCTCAGGTCCCCTCCACAGAATGGCAGCCGGAGCCACGCGCTGCCACACGCAGCCGTTCAGTTCCAATTTAAATTCGTTAAAACAAAATTAGAAAATCAGTTCCTCAGTTGCACTCGCCACACTCTGAGTTGAGTCGCCGGGGCATTTCCGTCCCTGACATTGGCGGGACGGAGCTGCCCTAGACTGCTCTGTCCCGCCACAGCTGCCCTGGGGCCGGGGTGTGCCCAACGGGGCTGCAGGGAGGTGGGGACGTCGCAGCGGCTGGTCCGAGGGTGGGGGTCGCGCCCACGTGCCTACCCTGACCTTCGCCAGAACACGCTGTGGGCCGGACTCTGGGCAGCACCTGCCTCCTGAGGAGCAAACCCAGGGGAGAGACAGGTGGGGGTGGCCCAGATCGTGCCCTGGGACTCTGCCCTCAGCAGCCACCTCAGGTCCACGGACAAAAGAAAGCCATTTCCAGACACACAAGGATGCAGGAGCTGAGGGCCCTTGCTGAAACCTTGTTCAGAGGGGTTCTCCGCCCAAACAGCGGATGAATCCAAGTGAGGAACCGAAGGGAGACACGATTTAGGAAAAGCCGCAGCAGCAAGCACTAGAGCCAGCAAGACTCCAGTGTGAAAGAACGTGCTTAGCGTGCCGCGAAGCTTTTCGCAAATGCTTAGACGTGATTCCTAACGGGATACAAGATGCGCCCCCACGGAGCAGCCAGCATCTGAAGCACAAGGTTGCTGCTTTTCTGTAACCTGGGAGGTGAGGGGCACCCGCGGGGGGACCGGCTGGGTTCGCGCTGGCGCGGCAGGAGGGAGACGCAGGTCTGCAGCAAGCGGCTGCCAGAGCAGAGTAAGGTGTGAAAGGCCAGCCCACACGAGGCAGGAAAACCTGGAGCCCGGGCAGGGAGGACGCGGCCGGAGGGAGCTGGCAGGCGCCACGTGGGCGCGTCCGGCCTCACACGGGCCCTCGCGCAGCCCGCAGGAAACGCACCTGCGGCAGAGGCAAGACTTTTTCAAAACAGGCCAGAAAATCACATACAGAAATGTTGCAAGGACGAGAGAAGGTGTGCTGAATCCAGCACAATCCTAATCAAAAGTGCCGTTTGATTTTTGAGATACTCACTATGTTGTAAAGTTTATACGGAAAAAAAGTCCTATCCTGACCAGTCGGCTTTGGAAAGGAGGCGGGAGAGGCGCTTTCCCACCCGACCGCGAGAGCTGCGAACTCACAGGGAAGACCCTGTGGGGGCCCGAGCCCCACGGCGCCAGCCCGGTCCTGGGGGCACCTGGGCAGGGACTGAGCTGCCGATGGTGCCCGGCGGGGCGGGGCGGGAGCAGACGCGGTCCTGGGCGGTACTGGCACGGTGGTGCGCTATTCGGGGAAGCTGCCACTGTCCCTACCTGAGGTCGTACGCAGGGCGGAACGATAGAACACAAAATAGCAAACCACGCGGGAAAGTAGGTGTGAGCTAGGAGTGGGGAAGAGCATTTTAAGATCCTCACAGCACAACCGTAAGACAAAATTTTTTTTTTTTTTTTGAGACAGGGTCTCACTGTGTTGCCCGGGCTAGAGTGCCGTGGCGTCAGCCTCGCTCACAGCAGCCTCAAACTCCTGGGCTCAAGTGATCCTTCTGCCTCAGCCTCCCGAGTAGCTGGGACTACAGGCATGCGCCACCATGTCCAGCTAATTTTTTCTATATATTTTTAGTTGTCCAGCCAATTTCTTTCTATTTTTAGTAGAGATGGGGTCTCGCTCTTGCTCAGACTGGTTTCGAACTCCTGAGCTCAAACAATCCGCCCGCCTCGGCCTCCCAGAGAGCCAGGATTACAGGCGTGAGCCACCGCGCCCGGCCAAGATTTTGATGCATTCATTTATGTGAAATTATGCAAAATTTTCTGTAGAACAAAGAACACCTGAACAAAGACAATAAGTAGCAGATCGGGAGACGTTTGCAGTGTTTGAACCGGGCAGGGCTTGCTATCCCGAAATCCCACAAAGGACACGAGGCAGGAATCCCAGCAGGAACACAGGCCGGGAAGGCGCTGGAGTTCAGGGGCGCCAGAGGGCAGCGAGCCCGGGAGGAGCATCGCCGGGCGGGCAGCGAGCCCAGGCGGCAGCCCCGCAGACGGGCAGCAGAAAGCCGGCGCTGCAGGCCCCAGGGCCGGGTGTGTTGCTTGCGACACAGCCACCCTCGACCTGGCCGGCCGCCCCGCACAGCCCCCGTGCGGGCACGGTGCTGGAGCCCTGGTCGACCCACCAAATATGTTCCTGCACGTGCCGACGCTGGCGGACGAAGCTTAGCCAAGCAGAGCCTGTGTAGCAGATTCCTGGCCCGGCTCCTGCCGGCTCCTGGACCCTAACAAGGCACCTCTGCTGGCCGTAGCCGTTTCCCTCCTCCCTTCCCTCCGTTCCCCCAAAATGCCACCACTTGACGTCGACACAACCGGAACTGTACACAGTGAGCGCTGGAAGGGGTTCCCCAGTGAGCGCCGTTTAGGCCGAGCGCGTGCACACGTCCCTCACCGGGCTCCCCCGGCAGCCTGTCCTGAAGGTCTTGGGCAGAGAGCCCGGGGCCACCACAGCCACTCTGCCACCAAGGGAATGAGCAGGGCAGGAGGGCGCGGTTGCATCGGGTTGGGAAGACGCCCTCCAGGGGCCCCACGGGATGGGGCTGAAGCTGCCATGTTAACGCCACCCGCAGGGCCTGCGGGGCCACACCCTGCGTCCCCTCCCTCCTTCCTGGTTTCCTCGTCCCGGTCCTGGCACGAGAAGCCAAGTCAGGGTCTGTGCGGGTGCCGCAGGCCCAGGGCGCGAGGAGCTGCTGCGCCAGGCTCTGCTGGCCGTGACGGAGGGAAGCTGCCTGCGGGGGACCTACCTGCTGTTCCGGGGCACAACGAGGGCAAAAGTCGGGGCTCCCTGGGAGGGCCAGGCCTGCAGCTGCTGAGAGAGGCTTTGGGGCTGAAAGGACGGCTCCAGCCAGGATGAGGGTCTGGCCAAAGGGGTTCCAACAGGCGGAAGACGGCCCCGGGGGGCAGATTGTCGAGCCTAGGCCGGCCGGCGGAGCCGCGCAGAGGGCAGGGCGTGTGGGGAGTGGGCTCCCGGGAGACAGGCCTTCACCAGGGATGCAGGCGCTGGGCCCCCTCCTCCTGTAGGGGCGGGGCCACAGCCCTTCGAGAGGGGCTGGTGGGACGTGCCTAAGGTCACTCTGGGGAGTGGTCGAGCTGGCACTGCCACCTGGGTCTTCTGGTGTGCCAGGCCCTGGTGAAACCCTGGCCCGCCACTCAGCACACACTACGTAATAACCTCAGGGAGCCTCAGTTTCCCCCCATGCAAACGGAGCTTGCTGGGCTCATCTGGTGGGGCTCCAGGCAGAGGTGACGCTTGGGGCTGTCCTTGCTGAATTCCACCTCCTGCTAACGCTCCGAGGCAGCAGCCATGACAGCTGATGCTGCCGCTGAAATCCCTAAACAAAGAAGGCACCAGGAGGACGGCCGCCCCCGCGTGCAGCAGGTTCCTGTGTGTGTAGCTCGGAGCCCCCCCCTTGCCAAACAGAGATAGATCCTATTCCAGGAGCTGGGGGTGCCTCGCCCTGCCTGGCCCGCCTGCTTCCGGGGCCCAATTGCCAGGCAAGGCGAGTGCACTCGAGGCCGCGACCGCCTGGGCAGGGTCCCAAGGACAGGGCCCCTCCCGGCCCTCTGCCATGGTGCCGGCCGGACTCTGCTGCGGAGACCCGGCTGGGAGGCCTCTTCCAGAAGCCACTGTGCCAGGCGGGAACCCGTCGTGCTGCATGGGCCACAGGGAGGAAGGTGGGGAGACGGACTCCAGGGGGCTGAGCAGGCACCCCTGGCCCGTTAGGCACCCCAAATGCCCTGGGACGCCGGGTGGCACTGTGGCATCTTCGCCAAGCCCTTGGGTGGCAGAAGCAGCAGATGCTCAGGGTGACTTTGGACAGGGCACCCCCAGCCCCAGGGAACCTCAGTTTTCCCACCTGTCCAATGAGTCCACCAGAATGGGCAGGTCACTCTAGGGGCCATTGTGGCTGGAGCGTCCTCTGTCCCCGTCCCTTCTGCCTGCTCACCACGGCGGGGACTGGGCAAGGGTGGGGCTGCCGGGTGACCCAAAACCCTTGGGGACCCAGAGCCCCCAGTCCTGGCCCTGGATGTCAGAGCCGAGCGGGGCCCGGCTATCTGGGCTCGCAGCTCTGCCTCTCTGGGCCTCGGTTCATCGGAAAAGAGGGGCTGGGCGAGAGCCGTCCCTCCCGACCTCGCGTGGCTCCCGCCGCACACCCTGTGGACAGCGGGGGCCCGGCTGCCTCCCTGAGACCTCGGCAGCGCTGGCCCCCAGATCCCACCTCCCTCCCCGCCCAGGCCTCTCACTCTTTGCCCCGTTTTGCCAACCCGTGACCTG